CCTTGAGGCTCTGCACGAGCTTCCTCGAGGCCTGCGGGACGGGCCCCGCGGCCGCGGCCCCCTTCCCTCCGCCCCCCGCGCCGCCGCCGCCGCCGCTCATCCTCGCCGCCGGGATCCCCTCCTCCGCCGCCGCGGCCGCCGACCAGCAAGCCCCTCGGGACCGGGAGACGCGAGGCGCGGGCGCGGGGGCGGCGGTGGGAGGGAGGCTGGCTGGCTTCGGTTTCGGCTGCGCGCTGCTGCGGCGGCTTCAGTCGGCTCTGTCTCTCTCTCTCTCTCTCTCTCTGGCTCCCACGCAACGCGACGCAACGGCGGCCTCAGTTCCAAAACCCTTCCTCCCCCTCGCTCCTCCGCGCCCGGCTTTATATAGCTGGGCCGGCGGGCGGGCGGGCGGATGGACGGGTGGGTTGGGTTGGGTTGCGGTCTCGCCAGGAAGGAATAAATACGGACGGGGGACGGCGATTTGCTCTGCTTTACTTTACCATATCGAAATACCCTATATATGCTCTTTATGGCTTATTAAATTGATTGAAATCATCAAAATATACAAGTGCACCTTTTTTTTTATCATCAAAATATGCTCTTTATGGCTTATTAATTTGATGAAATCATCAAAATACAAGTACACCATGTATATATATATATATGTATTATTATTAGAAAAACAAAACCACGTATTTTCACGTGTATTCCGATTGAACGCGCATTTGTTCTTCGTGCTTATCTCTCCGTCACGGTGCTTATCTCCGCGTGCGGCGATTAATTGGTTTGACCAGGCGGCGTTTGCGGGGGGAGCGTTGGATAAGCGCGACACGCTCCTCGAATTAATTGCCTGCCGCGAGTAGAAGACGCGGAACGAGGCGCGGTGCTATCTCGGGAAGTGCGCAATCGCGGGGGGAGGACTATTCGCCGCATCGAGCGTTTCTTCCTAGCAACGCGACATGTTTCACTAGTGGTTAGGAATACCTAGTCAAACAAAAAACATGGTAGAAAACTGGCTTCTCGAAACTCCTCGACTCTTGCTCATCAGTCAAAAAACTGGCTTCTCGAAAGAAAAGTGGGGATTCTGTTGGGTATGACCCGCCCAGGAGGGGGCACATCATATCATTGGCGACTTAAGCATGAAGCTGGTGGTTCGTGAATCAGGCTGGTTGAAGGCCCAAGGCTCGGAGGTGACTCAAGGCCTAGAAAGATGAACCGCCGTATGTTTAACTTGTATTGTAAGGCAAGTTTAGTTGGAAACCGAGCTGGTCATGCTTGTGTGAGCCGGCCGGGACTTTGTAAGCCGCTGGGCATCAACCTGTATATAAAAGGGTGACCCGGCGGTGGGTTAACTCGGAAAAAAATTGATCGAGTATTAGGTCAAGCGTATTCGCTCCCTGGTAGTCGAAACACAAGCAATACAATCGAAAGCATGAGTAGGCTTTTACCTCATTGAGAGGGGCCGAACCTGGGTAAACTCTTTGTGTCCTTTGTCTTGTTTAACCCCTTTAAGCTAACCTAGCTGCGATGGCTCCACAACTAAGTCCTTTCGCTAGGGCATCTTCGTGTTAAATCCACGACAGTTGGCGCCCACCGTGGGGCCAGAGCACGGTGTTTTCGAGTTCTTGAAGGGCAGCTTCTCAGGGATCAAGGGATACGCCGTGGGCCGGATGACCAAGAGTCGCCGTGGCAAATCTACATCAACGACATGGGATGGGGTCCCGAGGCCGATTCAATCGAATACGGGTACCGGGTCCCCTTCGGCGGAATCCATGTCTTCATCGGCAAGATCGGCGAGTCAGAACCTGAGCCGGACACATGCACCGACATTATCGAGACGGCTCAGAGTAATAATGATAAGCGTAAGGGAAAGTCGTCAGCACCCCGACTTGGTGGGCCAAAATTCAATCTTAAGGCGATGATGAACCAGCCTTGCCCAAAGCATGGTACTCAAGATAAGTCGGCCACTCATCTCTGGAAAGATTGCTTCATTATGAGGGAATGTAGAAATTCCAGTTTTTATCAGGGTAACCAGGGCTCGCACGGCGGGTCAGGATCCGGCTTTGGAGGTGGCGGCTCAAGCTCTAGATTTTGGGGTCAAGGTAATCAAGGCGATTATAACCAGCAATCTAATCAAGGTAATCATCACCAACAGCAACAGTCTGGTTATCAGAGTCATCTGAAGCAGCTAAATAGTGGACAATATCATGTGTTTACCACGAGTTTGTGCAAGCGGGATCAGAAGATTCGCAAGCGGGCGGTGAACGCGGTTGAGCCGGTGGTTCCCCGATATTTACGATGGTCAGAGCAGCCCATTATACGGAGCCGCGAAGATCACCCGCCCCGGTTTGATAATCCGGGTCAGCTGGCTTTGGTGGTGGCACCTTAGGTCGGAGAATACAAGTTCACTAAAGTGCTCATGGATGGAGGCAGCAGCATCAATATCCTCTATTATGATACTTTTCTCCGTATGAATTTGACTAACAAAGATCTTAAGCAATCCTCTACAGTTTTTCATGGGGTGGTGCCCGGTAAGTCGGCATATCCAGTGGTCAAGATAACCTTGGAGGTGGTTTTTGGTAATGAGTATGACTACAGGGCTGAACAATTAACTTTTGAAGTGGTCAAGATCAAGAGCCCTTATCACGCCCTGTTTGGATGGTCGGCTTATGCTAAATTTATGGCACGGCCTTGTTATGTTGAGTCATGATGCATGGAAATAGAAAGATAGTTTTGGAGTACGAAGAGGGCGATGCTGCCTATGCTGAGTCAGCTTGTGCAACAGAGGAGTTGAAGTTCTATAAAGATAATGTTGACCCAGCAGATATGACCCCCTTGAAGAAGCCAACTACAGAGCAGGACCCGCTGTTGAAGTTTAAGTCGGCAGATGATACTAAACCGGTTGACTTCGTTCCTGGCGATTCATCCAAGCAGCTCATCATCAGTGCCAACATGGATCCGAAATAGGAAAGCGCGCTCATCAAGTTCATCCTTGAGAACCGGGACATCTTTGCATGGAAGCCCTCTTACATGCCAAGTGTACCGAGGGAACTCGCTGAGCACACTCTTAATATTGATTCGAAGTTTAAGTCGGTCAAGCAATTCCTTTGTCGTTTTAATGAAGAAAGGCGCAAGTCCATTGGTGAAGAAGTGGCCCGGCTCTTGGCGGTTGGGTTTATTGTTGAAGTTTTTCACCCTGAATGGTTGGCTAACCGGGTGCTAGTGCTTAAGAAGAACGATGCTTGGCGTATGTGTGTGGATTACACGGACCTTAACAAGGCTTGTCCGGTTGATCCTTTTGCTCTCCCTCGTATTGATCAGATTATTGATGCTACGGCGGGTTGTGAGCGTTTGAGTTTTCTAGATGTTTATTCTGGTTATCATCAGATCAAGATGGCAGTTAAGGACCAGGAGAAGAAATCTTTCATCATTCCCTTTGGAGCCTTCTACCACGTGTCTATGCCTTTTGGGCTAAAGAGTGCCCAGGAGACTTATCAGCGTTGTGTTCTGAATTGTCTCCACAGCCAGATTGGACGCAATATTCATGCTTATGTGGATGATGTCGTTGTGAAATCCAGGAAGAAGGAGACCTTGATAGGTGATCTAAAGGACACCTTTGACAATCTTCGGGTTTACAAATGATGCTTAACCCGGCTAAATGTGTTTTTGGTGTGCCAGCGGGCAAGCTCTTGGGTTTTCTGATCTCTGAGAGGGGTATTGAAGCTAACTTGGAGAAAATCAAGGCTATCCCTTCCTTGGCTAAGCCGGTGTGTATTAATGATGTTCAGCGTTTGGTGGGTCGTATTGCAGCCTTAAGCCGGTTTATAAGCCACCTGGGTGAAAAGGCTATTCCTCTTTACCAGATGATGAAGAAGACAGATCGCTTTGTCTGGATTGATGCTGCCAATGAGGCATTTGAGGATGTGATATGGAAAGCAAAAATCCCAGGAAAAGTGAAAGTCTTCGGATGGAGAGTCGTCACTACATCCCTAGCAACGAAGAACAACTCTTACTGAAGAACTCCGGTAGAAGAGGATGTGTGTGATATCTGCGGAGTTGGAAAAGAAGATGAATTTAATGCTACAGTGAGGTGCACTAGGAGTAGGGCATTGAGGCAAGAGATGAGAGCTCACTGGAATATCCCAAAAGAGGTCGAATTCACCCACATGGCCCTGAATTGGCTACAGAACCTGCTGCTTGCTAACATCGAATCCGTCAGGAATAGGGTGCTCTTAGTTTTATGGCAATGTTGGAACCTGAGAAACAACGTAATCCATGGGGACAAAAAACACAGTCTCGGGAGCGGCACAGTTTTTAATTCAATTCAATGATGAATTAAAGAATGCACAGACTATAAAAGAATCAAGTGGGAAGAAGAAGCCTACATCTCTGTTCAGCGACAGGCCAACCAAGCTGACAAATACTCAACCAAATCACTGGGTCCCTCCCCCATCGGGTGTGGTGAAAATGAATTGTGACACGAGCTTCATCAAGGAGACAAGAGAGGCCTGGGAAGGTGCCGTGACTAGGGATTGTTGAGGGAGAGTGTATGCCTCAATGGGTCGACACCTGCCACAATGTAGCTCACTGGAGGAAGCAGAAGCTGCAATAGTTCTCATTTGCCTGACAGAGCTGTCAAAATTGTACAGAGGCCACCTGAATCTGGAGGTTGATTGTGCCAGGCTCGGACGAGAACTACAGACCACTGGGAGATGCAGATCGGCCAATGAAAGGACATGCGGTGCTCCCATGTGTGGTTTTGTAATTGATGACACTCTCTATGGACTAATAGTTGCATTGAGTTATATTTGAAGGATTTGTCCATAGGCTCTTCTTGAAGTCCATCTGTTGGTTTCAAGGAGTTTATGAGTTGACCAAGGTGCTATTAAGGAATTATCCAAAGATTGGTCATGTGAGTGTTGAGCTTATTGCAAGCATGTCTTGAAGAAGAAGATTGTGTGATCATTCATATTTACCTTCAAGACATCATCCAAATGAAGAGAGTTGGAAAGTTTCAAGGTTGATCAAGACTAAGTCAAGAATGAATCAAGTTGATCAACTCACAAATCATAGAAGATGTACCGAGAGGGATCAAGTGATCCTATGGTATGGTAAGCATTG